AGAGACTAGAGGACTGTGGTATGTAGTACATGTGTATTTATGCACACTGCGCAGTTCGAGCGTGGAGACACAAATACATACATGTCAAACCTTTGCGTAGCCGAGTATAGGTTTGGAATCTTCATGTCGTTTCGATGGTCGGAAAAACCTGACAGTGGTACTGAAGCGGGAAAGGGGATGCATCAACACTACGAGTGTGTGTTACGGAGGAGGTTAAAGTATTAGCACAACCATTTGCCAGCTTGCAATTGCCTTTTTGTTAACACATTCAAGTTGTTGAAGGTTCACAGGTGAAAGCTCTGCGTGGCGCCAGGATAAAATCTCCAGGGATACCATTATAATTTTAAAACGGGCCTCGGAATAACAATATCCGCCAGTATTGAATCTAGTGCGCGCGTGCCTAAGAGGTCGGCTGTACTAGCTAACGCCAGTTACACACTGTCATGTGCATAAATTAAATTCCGTTACCATGGTATTTATATTTATTCAGAATTAATAACTTTATTTGTGAATATTTGGTACATTGTTCTGTAAATAATGTAACATATCATCATGTAATAATGAATTTGTGCGACGGTAAATGCAACACTTAAATAAATAAATAAATAAATAAATAAATAAATAAATAAATAAATAAATAAATAAATAAATAAATAAATAAATAAATAAATAAATAAATAAATAAATAGTAGCGTCAGTGTATGAAATGGGTAAACAATAATCGACAATGTGCTACAATAGTTAATCCGTGATTTACGGTACACATTAGTAGTCTGTTTACTTGTTATTTCATCTATTACATGTTATTGTGTATTGTATAATGAGTTCGGCTTGTATACGCTTCTCTGCCAACAACTAGGTACGACGAATTTGTCCAAACGCCGCGGAAATATGAGATACCATGCATGTAAATATTTCGAGAAAAATCATATTATTATATTAATTGGCAAATTTGAAAGCTTTAGTACATCCAAGTTTCACCGTAATAAAAATGTTTAGTCAAGTTAAGTCTTGATATAGGGGCTTGCACGAAGGTGACGCCCAGTTGTACTCCTAGCAGTGGAAGCAATCTAACTATACTATCAAGGCTACTGAAAGCCGTACAAACCGCATATTTCTGAATTCGATCGAATGAATTACGTTTGTAAAATCAAAAAAAGAAAGCATAGGCTATTTGCGGATTTCTGGTGTACGTACATCCTTAAATTATAGACCTACGAGGTTAACGACGCGCATGATCATAGCGATGGAACACAGTCAAATCAAATATTTAAAGCGGGGTGTCGTCACCTGTGCATGCGTCAGGTGCGTGGTCATAGTGTGTCATTGTTTACAAACAAGCGTCTACCAATGAGCCTTTGCGTTTTTAATGTGTATTGTTATCATCGCTTGGGACTCAATTCCCGCGCGTGCGCAGGTGACGACCCTCCCACTTTAACTTTAAAATCAGGTTGCGATAACAATTTATTTGGAGGACTTTTTATAGGGTATTGAGCACAACTACCTAAATATGGATTCCATATTTATTAGAACAAAGTTAAACAAAATGGCGGATGTGATAACGTACACGGACAAGAATATTACGCGAGAAATAATCCCGTCAAAACCTTTTTGGCGCATTAACTTGTTACAGTACTAAAATATAAACCGGTGAAGAATAAACGACGTGGAAGAACATATAGAATATAGATTTGATGACTTTATTACGTTGAAGGTTCATTTATTATTAGTTTGTAGCTCACCTGAAGGAAGCTAGAAGCTGTTATCGAAACAGGCGTATTCAGAATCTGAAGCCTCAGGGAACTGCAGCTGTTTTGTACCTATATTTCTTGTTTTTTTTGCTTTTTTTATTATTTCCAGTATCACATTGCAGTCGCCTAGTTAGGACAAAATAGGTATGGAGGTTGAGATATGATGAGATAGTAGTCGTACATATACTTGAGATCTGAATAAAACATTAAAATCGCCGATTTACTGTGCGCAGTGCATAATAAAAAAAGATCGCGCCTTGTAATGATTTTACTGTAACTGACAAAGACAGACCACGGGGAGATGAATTATTTTTTTCAGATTTTTTTTCACCTGAAATGACAGCAAATTGTCATACATTTCCGAAGATTGAGTACATATTCACTGCGAGTAATATTCAGTAATCGGTGGTTATGACAGTCACGTGTTTATATTTACATTCTCCCGTAATTGTATTAATTGTCAAAAATGACATTAATCGAATTTCAATAAGGCGTTCCTTATAAATAATGATTATTCGCGGAATTCCACCAAAGGCCTGACAGTGTCCACGTGGTTAGTTAATTACTTAATGGTTTGACAAGGTTGTCATCAATGACAGTACACCGACTGTCATACTCGAGTGACGCAGTGAATCAAAACGTCACTCACATGTTGTTTTGCTTTAATGGGATTTCCGACAAGTTGTAACTATGAAAAAGAAACGGTTGTATTCATGGGGAAATGTAATAACACCAATTACATGGACTTGGTGTAATCTGATGAGCTGATAGATACCTTTTTAGTTTTCTTTGTAGACGGTCTCATTAGGTCGTTTGAGCGGGGTGAATGTTTAATGCAATATTCTAATTGAATAGATAGCCCAGCACAACCCGTGAACATAACGTCGAATTTGACAAATGCGAAAGGCACCGAGTTAAAATGCCGATAATTTATTCATTTTACAATATACTATACTATACAAAATAAAAATATTGACGTCAAAAAAGTCTGAGGAAACCAGTCGGTCGGTCGATGCGATCCTGTACCACCTGATTCCATATATTGCGGTATTCTCGTGATAACCTTATTATTATACACCTTTTTCTTGTGACGAGACTTTGCATAACATTGTTTTCTATGGAACTGTTATAGCAATCTTTGGATAATATTGACCCAATTTCTTAATTAATACGGCATCTTACACATCATATACTTCTACAATATTTCGCCATGAAAATAACAAACAAGGTCATGCAATTTATGAGCAGCATTCTTGAAAATTATCAACGTTATCAACGTTATGGGTCAAAATCGGTCTATTTCTTTCCTCTGACGTCATTTTGTGTATTACTGGTCGTTGATGTTTTAAAATCCGGGACACTTAGATTGTTGTACGGATAAAAGAGTGGATGACATTTTTAAATGCGTTTGTCTACTGGGGGCTAGTTTTGATTTTAACTCATAGAGTTTGCGCTTACCCACGGTTTTATCTCGCCCAATATCTTGTTTTTCTCATTAAGAATCATAGTGAAACAATGGGGCAATAATTTTTGATATTGGCCTCAGTCGAGGCCAATAACTGTATAACTCATTAAATTTCTGAGGGTAGGTGATTTGATAAAGCCAAACAAATTGAACTAGATATTACGCCATGGAAAGGGAAACTGTGTTGGTTTGAGTTCATGACGCATGCACAAATGTCAATGTCACATGGAAACAGCCAATACAACAAATTCATTTTCGGTTAATATACTGCGACGACACCACGTCCAGAAAGTCCAACTTAGTACTGCTCGCACCACTGTGGCGTTTGGATTTACGTTCACGGGAAATGCATGGCTCAGTGTATGATGAACGGTGACAGTTATACTGTTGATGCTTGTATAGGAAATCACATAGAATTTAATTTCTTAATATCCGGAATTGTGTGAAACACCGGGAAAGCTGAGGACTTAATATCCGGAAGTAATTATGCATAGTTTTTAAAGCAGGGGACTTTTTATTTTAAAAGGCACGATGTACGATATTTTGACGGTTACCCACAATGCATCATGTGACGTAGTGTCGGACAACCAGCTGCTACCAATTTGACAGAATAAATGGCATTCAAGTCATACATTTGAAGAAAATAATTACATGAGTGATCAAATAAAATGATTCTTTAATCGTGGAAGCTCCAACTAAACCGAACACCAAACAGTTAAACATTATTTAAAATTCATTTCAGCACGAGTAAATTATTTTGAATTGGAAATTGCAAATTCAACCCATTCACTCAAACTACACGACGATATAGGGCGTAGTTCACAAACGGACCACAAATAGAAAAGGAACTAACTTGAGTTAAATATCTGGCTTTTAATCCTATATTTTACGCTGTGTTAAAAGACTTTCAGCGATATATATTGCAATATTAGATAATCGACTTCCATATTCTACAAAAAACAACAAAACGGTGGCGCCCTTCAAGAGACAGAATGCAAAACTTCCTACGACACTGACTCGCGTCCACGTTTATCCACCCCAATCGATGCAAATAATCACCATACTGACAACAATTTCAAGTTTTCCAGAGAACCTATGAGGATGTTGTTTCCAGGGGCTAGGGCTACTGGGGCTAAAACATAGGTACAAAACACATAGGAACTCAGGGCGAATCCTCGGGGGCGGACATCCGGGCATTTTCTACCGCCTGGCAACCCTCGCGGTGAAAACAAAGACCAAAAACTCGGCTATGTTAATATCGTCTATGAAAACTGGAAAATACACCAACTAAGTGTACTTTAATTTGTATCAGTGTAAGTTGTACAGCGCGATGATATACGAATGACATCATAATTTTCATGACGATACTGAGAAATATTTCGATTTTTTCTGAATTATTCCTCAGTGCCTGACTATTTGGAAGTGTGAATATAAATGTACTAATGTGGCGGCCAATTTGAGAATAAAAAGAAATTGGAAAAGTTAAGTTATTGTTTACGTTATCAGCTCTTTGTTTATTTACTTGATGGAACCTTTTATTCGCTCAGAGCATAATATGCATCTTACATTTTTTGAATGGTATTTATTTTTCTCTGAATTAAAACATGAAATATGAATTACATGGATATGGAAAATTAACTAAAGAATGTGTCGTTTTGTTCTCAAACCATTATATTAAAAACCTAATGCAACACTAAAAATTACATCACGGCAGCATTGCGAGAATTATTGTTACAAGCGCCCTCAGGTGACGACTTTACAAAATCAAAACATTCGGTTTCTAAGGAGATTCAAGATGGCGGCTTACACAGCGTAATTTTCGCCGAACAATTCTCATTCCGGAATTTGTGAAAACTGTGTTTTTTAACGCAACACACAACGACCTCACATCAACGACGCGACCCGTGACCAATTTAGAATCTTAGTAACCATGCCGGGTAAGATCAATGTGATTTTTCAGTTATTCTTCAACCGTTATCTAAAAATGTTGGAAGGCAATTTTACTTGCTTTGGACTTCGCTTAGGCTTGGTTAAGTTAGTATGGTTTGATTTGCTTTGCCTGCTCGTCAGCTGGAATACTTGGTTCACTGTCGCTTTGTGCCATTAGGGAGAATGTGGTCTGTTTAACTAAAATGCTGACAGATTCATAGCCTCTTACACTGTAAATCCACAAGCGTCTGTTGTGGGACACCGATCCATAATAATGGAACGTTAATTGTTGTTGAAAGATTCGACTTGTACTAAACACACTGCAGACTCACATTGACAGGGGATAGGCAGCCTAACTGCACATATGTAACACAGATTACAGAATAAGTTGGGCGATTTTTAACTTACATCGTCGGTGTTATGCATGTACTAGCTAGTATATGATGACCCCCCCCCCCCTCCAGCAACCTTTGAACCTTAGATAGTTTGCATTGTGTATACGCGTCTTCCAGGATTTACCTAAAACAGAGTTGTTTGGAGACCAGGCTTTTCCATTACAGTCATTTCCGAAAGTCTACATTACAATATCACAATTTCCTATTAGTTAGGCAGATTTTAATCTGGTTATTGAATGACGATTGTTTTTGTTCTGTATCTGATGTACTATGCAATGTATAGCATTTTTTATTTTTTTTTATACGTTAACATGTGCAGTGACTGTTGGGAAAGATCCAGTCATTCAGACCTGGATATTAAAACAATTTCCCAATTTTATTATGCTAATATAAGGTGACCCGATCAAGAGCACTGGAGTAAGAACTTGATGTAATTGGGCTGACGCACTTGCATCCCAAATCGAGAATAAGTGAACAGTGTAATAAAGTTGAATACAGTAGGTGTGACATCCACATAAGAAATAAAACCATGGTGTGCTGACATTTTGTGAAAATGTTGTCTTATGAAATTAAATTAGTTTACAGTACTCAGGCATTACATTTATCTACACTAGTAGGCTGCATAACCTGTAAAAAAAAAAAAAATCCAAAAAGTGCAATCTGTATTACTATGTCATTCGACCTGATAGATCAAGCTTGTTGTTAACCAATCAGAATGCTGGGTGGTGACAGCCCATGTGCGAGGTTTTGGATAGGTGGTGTGTCATGCAAAAACCGTAATGACTGAAAGTT